CCAGACTGGGTCGACCGAGAGAGTGAGGTTGACGAGGAGGAGATTGACGATACAGACGCTCATTTTCCCAGGATAGGAGTAGCAGTCCGGGCGTAGGAGGTAGAGGAGCACATTAGGGCGACGGTTGAGTGAGCTTAGCTACTGATCCTACTCGACCATACTGGACCTGAGTGCGAGAGTTGTCTCAAGGGTTAGCAACGTCGAGAGATGGGGTGCATCGGAGGGAGTAGAGTGATGCTGACCGAGAGTAGGAGAAGAGATTAGGAGTGATTCAGTGGCCTGGTTAGCTTATGTTCTCTCACGAGAGTCCGAATCGTATAGTGGGAGGAAGCTTGTGGGACCCCGAGAGACGGCGGTTGGATACGACATTCCACTACCTGTGGCGTTAGAAGAGGCATGGCGTGTACCGATACGATACTTGGGAACATGGCTCGCAGAGGGGCTCTTCCTTTGGACACTGATACTACGAGACGAACGACCCGAGAGGACTCATGATCTAGAAGGGGTCGGACATCTGATAGCGGATAGAGCAAACGATTTAGAGATAGGACTAACGCTCGCAGGGGCGAGCAGGAGTTGGTGGAGAACCGAGTCGTTGGCCAGAGTGATCGTTAATCAGCAATTGGCGAGACTCTCTAGATGGAGGACGAGTTGGAGCTGCTTGGTATACGGTCCACCACATCCGACCCTCTACCCGAGTAAGGATTGGCGATTCGGACTTCCTACCTTCGTGATAGGGCAGACCTATGGGGGCGTGGATCATTTGAGTAGAGCAGTGGACCACACACTTTACGCGCTCTGGGAGGGCTTAGCGCCCCACTTCAAGGAAGTATACTACGCCATTTGTGTGAGGTGGGGGCCGCCCGGTAAAGAGACGCTTGACGACATCATAGACATTACTAGTTGGGTGGGCTGTCTGAGGTCAATCGATCTGATTAGGTACTGCAGGAGACGGGCAGAGATCGATTACGCGGGGCTAGAGGATGTGAGATTTCTCTTCGAGGCCGCAGCCTAGGGAATACCAGGAAGGACGGCCACGGTGATGCGTGTAGAAGAGCAACTGGTAAGCGCAGGATACACTGTGACTGTACTTCTCCGAGTGTACGTAGACGAAGACTTGACAGCGAGTGAGTGCAGACAACGAGCGAGGGATTTAATCCACGAGCGTAGAGCTGATGTACTGGCGCGAGTGACCTTCCAGACCTCGATTTCCTATGATGTGATGATATGGTCTCATGGTTATATGCGCGCGGAGCACTACCACGATGAGACGGTARCGGAGRCTAGAGCGAGGGTGAGAGGRTGAGCTGGAAAAAGATGTGGACTGAGTATGGAAGAGGAGAGTGAGGCAGTCGGAAGAGTGAGAAAGCGCGTTAAAGAACCACTCTTGAACCAGGTAAAGAAGTTGGAGAACAAGTTAAGGGAGATCTGGTCGTGCCAGGACGATGGCAAGTTGCGTAGGGTTGAACTCCTGACAAGGGAGTTAGACAATCTGTTTAGGGAAGAAAGAGAGATTATCCAGGCGAGGAGATCAAACTTTCTGGAGAGGGTAAAGGCTAGAAGCGTATCACGCGAAGAAACTAGTGAGCGATCAGCAGAGAGGAAGACAATGGAAGACAAAGTAATGCAAGGAAGTAGCGACAGGACATGAGCGGGACTGCACTACACACGACGGATCGGTACTCATTATATGTGGTAGGGAGACTGGACGGACCATTAGTGTTAGTGATCATAGAACTCCAGCTCCATACCAGACTGTGCATAGTTGAGGAGGCAGAGTGTGTCCGCTGCGCGCTGCGTGAGGCTAGGGGAACAGAACTTTGGATTGGAATAGAAGGAGGGCGGAGGATAAAATACGTACTCCAAGTGACACCTTTCGAAGGGAGGTCACGGATAAGGGTATGGTACGAGACGACCAGAGAGGCTGAGAGGTTGAAGATAAGCGAAGCCAGGAAAGATAGAGAGTTAGGGAGAGTTGTAACAGATGGTGCAATACTCAGGGTGTTAGCCGCTCACCACCGGTACTGGAAGGAATCGATAAAGACTTTAGAGGCGATAGACGATGGTGGAGATAAGGAGGACTTTGAGACATTTTATGACATATTGGAGCGGTCGGCGATGAAGTTACAAGTGGTTATAGCACTAACTTACCTCAGCTGTTAGACCGATGACCTCGTAGGCGTCTGGGAGATAAGGTAGTGAAAATAGAAATTGGAAGCTCTTGGAAGGATAGTGGAAGCTAGAAAGGTCGATGGGCGACTTTGGATGGCAGTAGGAGGGCCTTCAGCGGGCTAACCGATTCAGGACAGGGTTAGGAGAACTAGCAAGGAGGACGGAGAGAGACGCTCGAAGACTCTTGAAGGGAGTTGATCAGGAGACATTAACTAGGTTTGTGACTGCGATCTGTCTCAAGGATAGAGGTCCTGTCACAGGTATACTGCAGATCCGGAGAGGCACGGCTTTGTTTGCCGATCCCGAAGGAGAGGTTTACTTAGACACAAAGATTATTGAGATAGAGGGAGAGCACGAGATCTGCGACCGGTGCGGGATACTGGAAGTGGTAATCAAGGCAGTCGAGAGCTAAGATTGGAGGTGGACGCGAGCCGTGACAAGGAAACAGGTCTGGGCTGCCGCAACTGTCACAGGTCCGGGCTGCAGCGACTGTCATAGAGTCGGGCTGTAACAGTTGGCAAGAATACCTAACTGCGTCTTATGGCGGTCCAATGGAACCCGACACGATGGGGCCACAACCGACCACGAGCAAAGCGGGAGAGGAGTACAGGACATCGCCTTATCGAGCTCTGAGGGATCTGAAGGAACGAATTAGGCAAGAAGCACCGCTGAGATGGGCTGACCAAACCAATGACGGAGGGCCCGACGTAAGAGGCGAACCAGTTGCGACGGAGCCGCAGGAGACTCTAAAGACGAGTACCTCGAGCGGACGACGAGAAGCGACGAGGCGACGCTCCCCCGAGTACTAGCGGAGGGACACCATAGAGGACAGGCACAGAGACGACTGGAGAGAGAGTTTGAGGGATTCGTATTGGAGGGACAGATATAGAGACAGGGCGCCGCCCAGGCGAGTCTTCGACCCCCAGACAGGAGAGTCACATCCGCTCCCTTACGAGAGCAAGGATCGCTATATTATTACGCACAAGGCCTTAGAGACTCCTACCTTCAGGGGCTTAGGTATCACAGAATATTTGGAGAAGTGGGAGCTTCACGCCAGCCGAAGTCAGTGGTCAGAGGAAGAGATTATAGAGAACTTCCTATTTAATGTGGACCCAACTCTCGGTAGGGAAGTTAAGAAAGCTCGACCGAAGGATGGAAAATGAACTACTTACAAGAAGAACCTCGTTGAGCTTTACAAATTGGAGGATAACAAGTATTCCATAAAGGACCTTGAAACAATGACTCAAGATGAAGATGAGAGCGTACGGGCATTTGGGATGCGTTTCCAGAAGATCTCTATGGTGCTGATGAAGAAGGGGAAGATCTCAGAGGTCGAGCGCTGTACTATCTTCATCGGACACTTGTCCAAAGGTAGGCAAAAGAGTATACTTAGAGATCTTCCGCGCGACAGGCTTGATTTCCCAGAAGTCCTAAAGCTCGCGATAAAGGCAGAGGCAGACGATTACAAGGACTTGGTGTGGAGAGGGATGAGGAGACGTGACTTCTCTCTCTACAAGGAGTATGCCAAAGATAGATGTCCTGATTTCAAGGACTATCCCTGGTCGGAGAAGAATGAGGCCGTGGCTGAGGAGGTGAAGGAGATACGAGACATGGTGAAGGGATTGACGAGACAGGTTACAGAGATTGTAACCACTACAGGGGCCACGGCCTACCGGGACAAACCTGGAGGGCCCTATTCACTTCGCTGGGACCGTAGGAACAATGATTCCTGGAGGAGTGTCGAGGATAGAAATCCTCGGACGCTGACTGATTATGGTACGAGGGGAAGAGAGAGAGACGATGAGCCAAGGCGACGTAGGGACGATGAGATAGACCGAGACCGCAGAGATCGCGAGCCGTTTCCGTGAGCAAGGAGACTGAATGATTACGCGCGAAGCCCTAGCTATGAGGCCGATCGGGGTAGAGGCGACTCCCGCGGCCGATGGGAGATAGATCAGGGCCGACGAGATGGATATAGGGATGACAGATACGAGAAATCGGACCGAGATGGATATAGGGACGAGAGATACGAGAGGTCGGGTCGAGATGCCTACAGAGGTAGTAGGTATGAAAGAGGAGATCGGGACTGGGAACGACGAGATGGGTCGCGCGGACGGTTTGAGCACGGGGGAGATGCGAACGAGCAGCGCGACGAGTCGCTGGGATGGTACAACAGAGGGGACCGCCGGTATGATTCGCGAGGGCGGTATGAGCAAGGAGGGTCTCGAGGAGACCGCCGCAAGGATTCGCGCGGTCGAAATGAGAGAGCGGGATATGGCGTCTCATCAGAACCATATCCCAAGTCGCCTGACCCCAAGGCAGCCAGGAGTTCGATCTCGAGAAGCGCAGACGACAGGCCATCTACTCCCAGGAACTCATGCGTCTACTGTAGAGGAGAAGATCATATCAAGAGGGATTGCCCGGACCTCAAACGGGCAATAGATGAGGGATTTGTCGTGCTTGACGACCGCAAGTACGTCAAGTGGGCAGATCGTCTGCGAGATGTATCGATGTTCCCTTCGATGAAGGAGAATGTAGAAGCAAGGAGAGTAAAGCCGAGTAAAGAAAAGGAGCTGGTCAGGAGCCAGAGCATCAAGATAACCTTTGAGGGGGATATGGCGACCACACCCATAAGGGTGGCAGCCACAAAGTCGGCGAGAGGGTCTACATCGAAGAAGACTGACACCGATTACGTGATGACGGAGAAGGACGGGCAGCGGGTCGATAGAGAGGATGTTATCCTTTCGCTGCGAAAGAGGGGAGTGAAGAAGTTCTTAATGAAGAGTTCGCTGGACGAGATTGACACGGTCGAGCCACTGAGGCGGGCCCTTCGGCAACCCATGCAGTGCTCTATTCTGGAGTACCTGGCGGCATCGAAGCCGGCTCGTGAGGAGTTACAGATGATCACGCGGAAGACTCGCATACCTCTATCGGAGGAGGGTCAGGGGGCCCCTAAGGCGGAAGCTCCTACAGTAGCAGTAACGGGGGTGACTGCCAAAGCAGATTGCATGGCGACAGTCCTTCTCGATGGAATGGAAGGTGTGCCTCCAGACAAGTTTTATATACTTGGTAGCGGGCAACGAGGTGACGATACGAGACGTGGGCTCCGTGCCACACGCCGATTTACTGGCAGAAGGCGCCGCAAGTAGGTCGATTTATTCGGTTTGTGATCTGTTCTCAGATTATGATGAGGTACCGCTTGACCCTAGGGACAGGCACCTCACGGCTATGCATATGCCATTGGGACTAATACAAATGATGGTTGTCCCTATGGGTTGGACTAATGGGGTAGCCATTTTTCAGAGAGCCATGGTAGCCGTCCTCAAGGACTTCATCCCTGATAAGGTTGAAGTTTTTCTGGATGACTTTCCTATAAAAGGGCCAGTAGACAGGGATGAGGCAGAGGTTGTACCTGGAGTTAGAAGATTCGTCGAGCAGCACCTAACGGATATTTGCGCGGTACTCGAGCAGCTGGACGATGCGAATTTAATAGTCAGCGGAACAAAGAGCCGATGGGTCGTCTCGACTATTAAGATATTAGGCTTTATCTGTGACTCGAGAGGACGCCGAGCCGATCCGGCGAAGTTAGACAAACTTCTGAACTGGCCGTCACCGTTATGTAGCCCAACCGAGGTCCGACAGTTTCTGGGAGTGGTCGGTTACTGGCGTATATTCATACGGGGGTATGCGGAGAAGGCTGAGCCATTGAGGTTACTCCTTCGAAAGACTGTAAAATTCTACTGGGATTCTTCGCAGGAACTCGCTATGCAAGAACTTAAAGACGAATTTAAGGAGGGAGGACGCGTGTTGGACGTGCCGTTCTTTGACGATGAGACCGAGAGACCCTTCATAGTATCCACGGATGCTGGACCATGTTCAGTAGGTGGTTTGCTGTCTCAGAAGGACGCTGGAGGGAAGGAAAGACCGTTAAGATTTGAGAGTATGACTCTTAATACGGCTGAGCGTAACTACAATCAATTCAAGAAGGAAGTGTTAGCTGTTCTCCGGTGTCTAGACACGTTCAGACACTATATCTATGGGCGACGGTTCATCTTGAGAGTAGACCCCATCGCGGTTGCCTCTGTCCTCCAGAGGGACTTTAGTCTGACGGACCCGACCATTGCCCGATGGTTAATACGGATTYGGCTATACGATTACATGGTAAAGAGGATATCTGGCACTAAAAATGCCGTGGCAGATGGACTTTGGCGCATCCCTCTTGAGGCTGAGCGCCCGATAGAAGTTGGGGCCCTGACTATGGCGGAGCCAGGACCCACCGAGCGTTTTCTGGTTAACCTTTACGAGGGCCAATACCGAATGATCGGGCTACATTTGTAAGGAAAGGAGAGTCAAGAATCAGATATCCGGAGACAAGCGGCCACGTACTGCCTTAGAGCTGGCCATCTTTTCCGAAGGCCAGCAAAGTCGGGGATGCCCTTACGAGTAGTCTGTGATCCTGAGGAGAGACAGACAATAGTTGCGGAGCTTCACGATGGGGTAGTCGGAGGACACAGGGGAGTCAGAGGAACCTACGAAAAGGTACGCAGATTGTACTGGTGGGAAGGACAGTATAAGGACGTCGAGAGGTATTGTAGGACCTGCGAAGAGTGTCAGAAGAGAGGTCTTGTCAAATACAAAGAGCCACTTCATCCATCCTATCCAACCCGACCAGGAGAGAAGGTACACATCGATCTGGTGAAGATGCCGAAAGGGGTAGGCAATATGAACTATGTTGTAAACATACGAGACGACTTCACGGGGTTCGTGGACGGTAGACCTATCAGGAGTAAGACGGCAAGGGAAGTGAAGAACTTCGTCCTAGAGAACTTATCTAGGTATAGTTGTGTCTGCAAGATAGTGATGGACAGAGGAGCGGAATTCCTGGCTGACGAGGTTCAGAATGTGTTCAAGAGAGTTGGGGCGAAAGTTTCGATAGCCACTGCCTACCAACCACAGTCGAACTCCCCAGTAGAGAGAGGGCACCAGACCCTGATAGCGTCGCTATCTAAGTRGTGCAAAGGCAAGGACAGTGATTGGCCACGATATTTTCAATATGCAATTTGGGAAGACAACGTCACGGTCCGGGCTAGCACGGGATACCCTCCATACACCTTGTGGTTTGGGCGGCATTGTCCGCTTCCTATAGAGTTTCACGTCGACAGCTGGACAACCGTCGACTGGGCGGAGGAGATGTCCAGAGAGGAACTCATAGCTGCCCGAACAAGACAGATAGCCTACGGTTTGGAAGATAACCTTATGACAGCGGCAGATCGTCTGACAGTGGAAAGAGACAAAGGTAAAGAGAGATGGGATAAGAACGTGAGAATCAGGAAGGAGAGGGTGAGTATAGAAGATATGGTCCTTCTCTACGATGCAGCGCTGGAAAGAACCTGGACCGGAAAACTCGCCAACAGATGGATGGGACCTTACAGAGTGGTTGAGGCACTCGAGTAGGGTGCATATATGATAGCAGAATTAGACGGATCTAAGTGGAACGACCCAGTGGCGGGTGCTAGGTTAAAGCTGTTTAGGCGAAGGCCCGCGCCCGCCTTATCGCTGACCAGCCCGAAAGGGAAAGGAAAAGCCATAATGGAGGATGAAGCCCCCTTGAGGCAATTCGAGGCAGGGGAGAGTTCCAAGAAAAGGAAAAGAATAGAGAAGAGAAAGGTCAAAGGGTTAGCTTTGGGAAGAGAGAAGAGATGGTTATTCGTGCTCAAGCGAGCTAGACGGAGAGTTCGCGTTAGACGTACTGGCGGGTCGACACCCTTCTCGGGGCAAAGACAGA